AGTGTGCAGTGTACAATGTGGGCAATTTTTGACAATTGAAGCATTAGCTTCCTCATTGTTAATTTCCTCAATAAGCAAGCACAACCTGTGGCACAAGGGACATCCCTTAAGGTGGCACGAATAAAGAAAGGATCAATTATCAATCTTGGAGGGCAAGGTAGTTTGTTGACTGATAAAGAAGACTCACCATTTAACAGCTCACTGGAACATAATTTGATATCTATAGCTCAACAAGTTTCTAACTGATGAGAAGATTTTATACCTGTAATAAATCATTTATTCAAATTAAATAGCAAAAACAGGGATGTTTCGTATTATTTTATGCAAGTGACTCCACTTAGCATACATGATCTGACAAATTTGTTATTCATGTCCTATTCTGGGCCATTTAGTATTCAACCCACTAATACACAGTAAGTAATGTATGTATCAAATATTGTGTACCATATAAGATTTCCTTGCTGTATGTCAGGAATTGCAGGGTATCTATTGTTTTAAATGGACTAGTAGATGTAGTGTCTTACCATTTTTAAAAGTACTTTGGATTGGTTAGCATAAATTATGACAACTCTGGATGGTCATTCATTCTAAACACAATCACCAAAAATAGATGAAATTTGTTAAATCAGGGTTAGTGGATTCACCTGCAAAAAAAAAAGAAACTTAACATTAACATCTGCATTTGAATCATGTTAAAAGTCTTTTTTCACTTGCACCAGACAGTAACAGAAAGTCCCTTCACAAAAATTCACAAGATTCCCCCTTGCTTAAACCTAGGCCTAATAGTTGGAATACCTGAAAAATAATTCAAGTAGTTTTCAGAAAAACCAGAAAGTTAATTATAAAAAAAACTCACCATATATAAAAAAAATATCTATTTGTCCAAAGGGATTTAAAACTTTGCATACTAATGACTTCTCTGAACTGCTGTCACTTTAAAAAGAATAATAATTTTTAGAATACAAACAACATTGTGTTGTGAATTGTTTCAAAAAGTAAAATTTTAATAAGTATTAAAGGGTTGTCATACTTCACAAGACAAAAATTTGAATTCTCACAACAGGAAGCTTGCATAGATATGACCTAATAACCATCCTCACCTCCTAATTCGAAACCTGTCTACCCGCACCCCTTCCTTAATATCTTATTCTAAACTAACAATTATAGGACACCATCCCTTTAATTCCCCCACCCCCTATTTCTAAACCTGTCTACCCTCATCTCTACCTTAATCTATCATAAACTAACAATTATAGGACACCATCCCTTTAATACCCCCACCCCCTATTTCTAAACCAGTCTTCCCTCATCTCCACCTTAATTTCTTATCATAAACTAACAGTTATAGGACACCATCCCTTTAATACCCCCACCCCCTAATTGTAAACCTGTCTATTCCCATCCCTACTTAAGACCATATTCTAAAACAACAAATATAGGCCACCCTCTCCACCCCCTAAACCTAAACCAGACTACCCAAATCTCTGAAGGGTACAAATTACTTTTTTTTTTTATTTGCAGAAGTCTTTTGCTCTATGGGCCTAAATTGCAGAGCAGTTTAAAATTTTGTATAGCACTTCCTAACGTATGAAGTATTTAAAGGATCTGAGAGGGTATCATTAAACTAAATGATTCTTGAATTGTAATTTAAATACCAGTGCAAAATATAAATACAAACAAAAGTTGGCCATAATGATACTCCTGATGTCTTCCATGTTACTTTTGAAGTCATGAAATAACTTACATTTGTCATATTTATTCTCGTGACATTGAGTCTAAATATTCAAGGTCACGCGCGTAAGAATCTAGATTGAGAAAAGTCAAAACTAGCCGATAATATTGAAGCCTCGAGTATTATACCCTACCAACACCCCCCTTCCCCCAAGTACATTTAAGCCCTGACCTGACAAATTTCCCTTCATTGAACACTGCATGGCGTTCACGATTATAATTTTTTCATAGATAATTTAGAAAATCTCTTTACAATCTCTTTAACCAAACGTTTGGTAGAACTAAATAAAATGAGCTATTCAAGGTATGCATGCTTCTGATTAACTTCTTTTTTTGTGCAATTCCACTTTAGTAAAACTATGCGTTTGTTAACGTGAACTTCACAAAGACTGTAGATATTATTAGCAGATTCGGCAATAGTGACGTCAAAAAAAGTCTAGTTTTAGTGGAATTGGAAAAAATAAAACAGAGGTCTGACTGGAAATTGGAAAGGTACAAATTGATGCTATCGGTGTCCCTATTTCTAGAAAACCAGTTTATATTTCAAAATCAATCAAAATTTGAATGAAGAAAATGGCTTACCTTCTTGTGAATAAGTGTCCAATATTTGTCACTCCTTCCAAAAGTGTCATCGTTGCGTTGAATCCATTATTTTATAGAAAAATCACAAAATAATCTAAAACCATCCAGAATAACACAGATAGTATCAAATAAATCCCAATCCACAGATATTAGTCAAAGATTTAGCACTGAATATATCGAAATAATTCAAAACCATCCAGAATCCAATACAGAATATATCATAAGTCATAAGTCACGACTGATAAGACCGAAATCCCGCTCAGAAATGCGCACCCTTGGATATGCATCCGATGATTTTACGTTAAACTCCTCCCACTTTTTGACTGACAATTTGAATTTCAGCCAATCAGCAGCCAAAATTCTGCATCCACGTGCTCTACGTGTCAACTCTTCCCGCCAAAAAATTGTTTTGAGTTTCTGATGGTTTTAAACTGTCACCTTCTCGTCAATTTGGTGAAAGTTGATAAATTATTAAAGGAAAAGATCCACCAATATTTCAGAGTGGCTGGTTGAAATAATTTTGAATAGAGATACTGGACTTAAAAATCCTTTGTAAAGTCTAAAACCTGTTCAAAAATCTTTGGATCAACGATTAAAGTATATTTCGTTAAGTTATCGAGGGAAAAAATTGCCAAATTCACATGTTTGTGAATTAAATTACACGGAAGGGGACCTTTAATTCTTGACAGAACAAATAACATGATTGCTAGATTCGCGCTAAATATTACCCCGAAATTTAAAGGGATATAGCGTTACTGTTACAATAAAATTCACCATTATTCAAGTTTTAGGCCTAAATCGGGCTACCCCCTAAGAAGATAATTAGAAAATTTACTGAAAAGCTTTGACTTTGCGACTACATAAGTGTGGCAATAAATTCTGGGACGAAAAAGTGCAAGAGATACAAAAATGATTGCAGTAGAAGAGATTAAACCACAGTAAATTTAAAGATAGTGGATCAAATATGGCCATATTCGGTATACGGTTGGTGAAACGAGATCCTCATTGTTAGATCATTTAGGCCTGCCTACATACAAAGAAAATCGAAAATTGCGATAATCGTTTGAAAACTGAAAGAGCTATACCAATTTCAACATAGGTGTACGGGCCCAAGGCCTATTTGGGGGTTGGAAGGGGGGGGGGGGGGTTGTTTGCACGAAATTTTGCTACGATCGAGACGAGTGATACAAATAAGGGGCAGAATGACTCAAATATTTTAGAACACATTTATAATATTCATGTTTATTAGTGTAAAGTTATGTTAGTGAACTAAATGTTGGATAGGCTAACGGTACATCGAGGATCAAAGGGTGACGTCAAATTTTAAGTTATAATAACACTGCAAAATCAATTGATGTGATTTAATTTTTAGTGGTCACTGACAAATAACCCATCATGCCCATGGAATTGAGAGCAATATTAGAAGTTCCAGGAGGTTCTATTAGTTCCCATTATCAGGATTCCTTCCCCATCCCCCCTCCCCTACTCCACGGCTTTGGTAATTGTGTAGCTTGCCATCCAACTAGAAGCTTCTTACTACAGGCTCAGTGTTAGGTCGTTAGGTTTTCATACAGCCATAGTCAGTTGGCTTAACTAAAATTAATGCTAAAGGAAAGTCTCTGTGGTAGTTTAATTAGACACTGGTTGCAACGTTAGCGATATTGGAACAATGTGGAAATTAAATAATGATTTGAGTATTACTGTATTATCTTTTCAAAGCAAAAGACCGACATTTTAGGCCCAGGCTTCAATTGAGGGCTCTGTGCCCCTTTTCCAAATTCTGGGTTACCCCCGTTTTCAGAATGTATAGATTTCCCCCTGTCAATCAATTTCTCCCTGTTGATGGTGATAATAAACTACTTAATAATTAAATCATATCATTTGATAGTCAAAATTAGTAAAATGATCCTACACGAAATTCAAAATTGTTTCGAATTATTCATTCGTCGTCATTCCCAATTTTTTGCACGGCCTTAGACAGCTACAGTTCGGACAGTTCGGAATTTTACACCCACTAGATCTCGATGAGCTGTTATTCATTATTGCCTGTCGAGCCAACTAATCTGTCTATCGAGTCCATGCTGCACCACAATGGTTTACAAATTAATACAAAGGTTGTCTTGATCTCTCTCCCTTATAGATTAATTGAATACGGTACCCTTATTTTCCGATGTACAAAACATTAAGCGTCATAGGAAGAACGTGGGGAATGCTCAAGAGCTTGGTGAAGGGGTTGTATTAGGTGATACACTTTTTCCAAACATTATCCTCAAACGACACTTTGGGGTAGGGTCACTGAAATAACTGAACACAATATTATGGTATACTACCCACGTGTTTTATCTAAAAGCGCTTTAACAATTGACCTTGTCGCCATTAATGACCATGTAAATTGTTGCGAAATTGAAAAAATTATTATATGTATTTGTCATAAAAAATTTTAAGTTATTTTAGCAATATTTAAGTTAGAAATAATTCAGATTTCATATCGGGTCGATTTGCCGCTAATGTCTATCCTAAGACGATTCGACCCGACCCGATTCGACCCGAATCTGTACGCTAGTTGAATGTTTATGCCTTCAATAAAGCAAAATAAATCGTTGAAAATTGTATTTAATATAAGAGACACCTGGCGGCTGTTTAAACCGGAAGTAAATAGACAACCTACTTCCTTTTTATTTTCCAACGTGTTGACAAAAGTCAACATTTCAATTTGGTCACTTTAAATCATCTTTAAGGATAATCCACAAAGATGGTAAACATACATCTTATTCCGCAAATAACTTAAAGCATTAAGGGGAAAAATGAGACGAGAAAAAAGCATCTCGAAAGGTCACATTCACATTGAAATTAACATAAGTTTGATTCGTGCTGGTTGTAGTTTTTGTTTACATTTACACATTTTCAATCATTTATTGTTAATTTTTAAATTAGGATACATGTAGAAAAATTATAACGTAATTTACACCACATCATCCAGAGTAAATTAATAAGTCCTGATTACTGTCAGTTTCTTCTTTGAAAACAGAGTTACAATTAGCTATTTCTATTAGATTAAGATTAGATAAATGTTATGGGTTTAAGTTAATTAGTTAAATTGGCCCCTACTAACTGAAATGGCCCTAAAAGTCAAATGGTCTAGTACACCCTTGTCAGTGTTTCCTTGTTGTTGAGCAACAGAAATAAAAGTCCTTTTATAACAACTGTATCTAAAACTTTCCAGATGATAATAACAAACTTATTATGGTGTCTTTTTTCAGCCACAAAACGAACATATAGAACTTCATCGGAAGAGACATGGATACAGACTTGATTATCATGAGAAAAAGTAAATTTTATTTTTTATTTTTTTATATAATTCATTCAGTCTCACATTCATAGCAGATGAATTGTAGTTTGTTAAAACTGATTTTGTGCAAGACCTCTTGATAGCTTGGTTTAAATCTGTAATTGTATTTTGCTATGTCTGCTATGCTGATATTATTTATAAAAAAAAATGTACTCTTTTATTACAGACGAAAAAAGGAAGGCCGTATGGGCCATAAAATGGCAGAAAAAGCTAGGAAATTGAGAGGAATTAAGTAAGTTAGATTCAATTCACAAAAAAAATGTAAAGATTCAGTCAGAAATTATTTTATGTAAAAAGTTTTCAGAAACGTTCACAATAAGTATGATGTTAAAGTGTTTTTTTTTTCTCCTTTCAGAGCTAAACTACACAATAAAAAGAGACATTCAGAGAAAGTACAGATGAAGAAAACGTAAGTATTACCAATAATGATTACAATGTATGATACACAAAATTACACAATAGTTTTAGGGTGGCTAAATCACAAATTAGCATTAATACAGGGAAAAATATGATAGTTGTCAAGACAGGTTATTTTAATTTGCAAGCTATGCAGAAATATTTTCATAATCCAATTTTAATGGGAGATTCTTCTTTTGAAGAATGGTATTCAAAATCAAATTCCAATGCCAGGCTCAAATATGAATTAATGATAATAATTATTTGTGATTTAGGTTGAAAATGCATGAAGAGAGACAAACAAAACAGAAATCAGATGATAATGTACCAGAAGGAGCTGTACCAGCCTATTTATTAGACAGGGAGGGACAATCTCGAGCTAAAGTATTGTCTAATATGATAAAACAGAAACGTAAAGAGAAAGCTGTAAGTTAATTTGATATATCCATTACCATAGTTTCTAGGTTAGACTTACAAGAAAATATTTAGTGCTAAATCTCAATATATTAATTACTGTACCATGTAGAAGTATAGAAACTGAAGTCGTTATTCAGTGTTTTACGCTTAAAATTTCTTGGCATGAGATATATGTATAAAGTATTATTGAATTTATTAACTCTGTTTCACATGCACATGCATATAGTGTTATTAACTGTAATAAAAAGGGCACTAGGGATATGAATACATTTCCTCTGTTTTTCCTAGATGTGTTTCTTATGAATTTTATGCTATAATATTCTATAATTTAGGGTAAATGGGATGTTCCACTACCTAAAGTTAAAGGAATGAGCGAAGCAGAAGTCTTTAAAGTTGTCAGAACAGGAAAAACCAGACGTAAGTATTTAAAGCCAAATTTTACAACTTGAAAATGTTCAGCAATATTCTGCTTTCACTTTGTATTATCTCCCTTGATATCAGTAATTGTAAAATATCTGTTTGACTTTCTTTCAGGAAAAGGATGGAAGAGAATGGTGACTAAAGTTACTTATGTCGGTGAAAATTTTACCAGAAAACCACCAAAATTTGAAAGATTCATCAGACCCATGGTAAATACGGAATTCAAATTTATTGCATGTCTCTTTTCAATTTCAGTGACTTGCTTAGTACATAAATTTAATCATGTATGATGTTTGAACAACCCCATTTCTTTAGATCAAATAAAATGTTATGTTACTTGCAGGGTTTAAGATTTAAAAAGGCTCATGTAACTCATCCTGAATTAAAAGCCACATTCTGTTTACCAATGATTGGTGTAAAGAAGAATCCTAGTTCCACCATGTATACCTCATTAGGTGTTATAACTAAAGGTACCATTATTGAGGTATGTATTATTTTTATGAAGGAGTGTGGTTGGGAATGATTTTATTTATATATTCAGCTTTCTAAGTCATATTTTGTGTGTCTTTTTGCCAGTTAATAATAAATAATACCCATTGTACAAACCAATGAGTGAGTCAAGATTTTAAATTTATTATAAGTTCTTATGATGCAGGGATTGTAATTATTTGCAGAAAAGGAGGACGTTTGTATTATTATAGGGCTAATTTTGTTTTGTAATGATAAACATATTGACTTTTGTTTTTGACTTTCTATAGGTTAATATAAGTGAATTAGGTTTAGTAACACAAGGTGGTAAAGTCATCTGGGGTAGGTAGAATGATTTATTATAATCTCAATAACTAGGACTCATTGATTTGTTATTAAAAGAGTTGTTGAACAAAAGGATGCAACCTGGGATGGAATACACTGAGATCAATCTGAAAAAGGAGACAACCCAGTTTTGACATAGCCAATGACACGCCCCTGTATCCAATCATAAAAGACTTAACAAATTGTTTCTCTTGATTTTAAATGCAATTATGTCTTTAGTGGTATTAATATACATTATTTAATAAATTTTTCAGGAAAATATGCCCAGGTGACCAATAATCCAGAAAATGATGGCTGTATTAATGCTGTTTTGTTGGTGTAAATCACCATATTAAACTCAATTAATATTCAAAAACTAAAAAAAAAATAGCAAAAACCTTGAAAAATAAAAGAAAAAGAAACGTGTCTCCATGATGAAGAAGAAGATTTGTGGTTATCATTGAAACAACTACCAAGTGACAAGTCTAGAATATTGTCAATAGAGTGACCTATGTGAAATAGATATTAAAATTGATATCTACAAAAATTGGTTTTTCTTTCTTTCTAACTTTCATGAGCTGGTGTGTTTGTTTATCCTAAGGTCCTGTTTTTTCCCTCTCTGCTTATCAACTCCATTTCCTGTTTTAGAGATATCAGTGGAAGTACTGACATGAGTTGGAATAAGGGCTTCAAGCAGTGCATGTATTAGACCCCTCGGTAGATGAAAGTTGAAAGAAAATTGTCTTTTCCGCTTGGTGAATTTGTCAGGGTTTCCCTCTTCATGATGTGTGAAATATGCACTCTTTCTTGTTTCTGTTTCAAAATATCCTGCTGGTAAATATTCTTTCTTTTGATGAATTATTTTGCAAGATGGGGTGAATGAAGGTATCAGGTCCTAAAAAATATCCTAATCTTATACAAACGTATTTTATTTAAAAGTTATACAATATTAAATTATCTATTTTGGTACATTAATGATTTACTACAAACATCCCCATAACTAAACATATACATAACTTTAACATTAACATAGAGAACACATAATATACACCAACAGATCAATAACAAGAGACTGGATTGCCTCTGACTACCTCCGGGGAATTCGATCGTATTATGTCAGAGAAGAAAAGAGCAAAGAATGGTCGAGAAAAAACATTTCTGCTCAACCAGGTCAGATTCAAAGCGTCCACACAATTCGAGCAGTTCACTTTATTTCTGGGTAAAAATACAATAGTAATAGAAACTATGCATTCTAAACCTACATTGTGTTGATTACTGCTTAATCTACCTGAACAATAAAACAATAAAATGGAATGCTCGTGTTTATGTTTTGAAAATGTCTTTGCTCAGGAAATAAACAATGAACTGTGCCTGATAGCAGTTCGATGTTATCAATGTTTGAAGACTTTGGTTTGGAGTTTAACCTGCTCTTAATAGTAAGTGGACGTTTTGTCTTGATATTTACGGTGCATTTTGGCTTTAGACATTTCACGGGCATTGTGGCTTAATCACATTTCCAATGATTTCAGAGGTTACATTTCAACCATTCCATATTATGATCTTTATTAAAAAATGTCATCAATATTGAACTATGCACTGTAACAATATGGCCAGCGTACAGATCACAATAAAACAGAAAAACAATAACAAAAATAATCTATCCATCACCATAGCAACACGCTGCCATTCGGAATTTAATTGTATTCGTTTATCATGTTCCCCAAATCCATGTTCGACCTTTTTCAATATTTTCAGTTGATCTTTAAGAATGGAGGCCAATGGTTCTAGATTAGGTGGTATAGTTGGATTTGCTTCATTAACTCTTGTAAAACCAAGATGGTTGTTGTGGTGAAGGCCATTTCCATTCATCTGGGACTTCTGAAATTTGAAAAGAGATGGGAAAATAGGGACAGCAATCAAAATTTATACAAACTATATATGACTCCTACGTCCAATAACAAATCATTTACTTTTCCGTTTGCAAAGAACTTTCTTTCTTATAACAATCAAGATCATCGATCGTTTCCGTCCTAAAGATGATTTTAAATGCCACATTCTACCAACCAGAAGTTCTACAAAACTAATTATGCAAAACTTACTTCCAGGACTTGGAACTGAAACTACTTATAACAAATTGGTAACGATGTGATCTATAATTTGTTAACATCACGCAATAATTCTGGAAAAATTTGAAAATGCATCCCAGAAAAGACTGCGGAAGTGCAAATGAATTAAAACTAATTGAAAAAGTACCTGTTTTATTGTTTCCATATCTTCAATCGTTAGATCAGTATTATTACACGGATGAACAGTAGCATCATAATCTTTAACCAACAGAAACCTCGCCAAACCCCCTAAAAATACCTTCCTGATCCATCTCGGTACTGGGCGGCCATGTTGACCCTTGAAATGAAAGTTGAGGACTATAACTGTCAAGATGGTGGACACAGACACCATCACCATGGCACAGGCGAAATATATACCTGAAATGATAACATACATTACATGTGAACACGTAGCAGAACGCACCTTAAATTTAGCTAAGTAGCACAAAATCAGACTGTTTGAGCAAAATCTGGATCGGATCTGGAGCCCCAACTGCCCGAGGTCGAGGTTGCCCCAGAATTGATACACATACTGCAAAATTGGGATGCAGAGGTATGATGTGACACTGCAAAATTTCGTACAGTGGCTATGTATCGTGTACTAATATAGATATCATGTATTTATACATACCTATGTATGGGAAGTTTTCAGAAGTGGGTGGTAACGTCTCTGATACGACCAAGAGAAACACAGCCAGCGATAGCAAAACTGTTATTTCAAGGGAAACCTTTTCACCAGCGTCAGGTGGTAATAAAAAGCCCAACATGGCCACTGAAGTGATGAGAATACATGGGAACAGCAGATTAAGGACATAAAACAATGGTTTTCTTTTCAAAGTCACGTAGAAGGTTACGGCTGGGTACGGTTCTGGGCAACAGCTGTAGTACGACACTGTACGTTTCAGTGGGACACTGGACAATTTCCACTCCGTATTCACTTTAAAAGAAGAAATGTCACCTGATTCACTTCTGTTTTCTACATTCAAGTCATTTCCATGATACGCCCACGATCCAAACGTAAGAGGGCAATATTGAGTATCGTATGGGAAATACGTTACGTCAACGTTACAAAGACTGTCTATCACTGTAGGGAAATAGTAGTTGACTGTTCCATCAGGGTAGACTGCAGGTCGATAATCTTTTAATCCAGCTAACTCATCTGCAGCACTTTGATACCAAGAAAATAGATAACATATTATTATGATATATCAAACTTATAAGGACATAGTATCCTTTAGCTTTATGACAATGCCACAATGTTTTAAACTTAAACTGCCGATATTTCTGAGAGCAAGCAGCTTGTTTGGGATTTGACCACATTACCAGCATTGTGACTTTTCTGACGTTTCTGATTTAAGCATGAGACTACAGCCAATGACTATAAAAATGCACAGCTGACTTACATGGCCAACGACACCAGCTGAATTCATTATGAGCAAACTGCTTCAAGTACCGTAGACAATTACAGAAAAACCAGTAATTTAGCAGCAAAATTGATCAGTCATATACTCCAGCCATATTTTCTAAATTGGTTCATAGTTTATTTTTGTCTGGTCTATGGATTTTATTATAGATATCAAATTACATGTATACCCGTTTTGGCCTGGTTTAAGAAAATCAGTTATTATATTATAATTCTACCTACTTGTCAAATAAAGTGATATCAGGTGTCCAGATCTTCTCAAACGGTACTACAAGGCTGTCGATACCCCCATATTCACTGGCGTTCCAGACCAATTGACAGTCATTCCATCTCTGCAAGAGATTTATAAGAATGTCAGACTTGAGTGCTCTGTTTGTCTCTAGTTGGGATGGAACAATTATTCCATATATACAAATAGTTATAATTAACGTGTCATAAACCCCAGACAAATAGTTGATTCTATCTCGTGTTGCTTTGGTAACATTACATATCAAACTTTAACACTGATACAATCATAACACTGAACTAACTTACCAATCTTATCCAGGCGTTAATAGTCAGAATCTGTTTTGGTTCGTTCTGAAATTATAAATAAGGAATAGTCTTGGGGGAAAATGCTCTAGTAAGACACAAAGAACAAGTTTGTCATTTACTATCAGGTTTCTTGGTGCAGGACTCATTCACGCACTGTAAGGTACAAACATGGGAATTTTCGCAAAACAGGCATTATTCTACTACTTTATTTCAATACCCAACTGTTCAGGAAACTTTAGATATGAAAATGAAATGATTGGAGTTTTACGTCCTACACTTCTGCACCATGTCATGAAACTTTAGAGCGCAAAGCAAGTAGCACATGAAGGACAAGATTTTTCGATGGGAGTCCCATAAAAGACCTGTTGATTGTTTGATAACCATTAGTTAATTGTCCGATATGATTCATTTCCCAGTATACCAGTCTGTATTTATATAACTATTAATATCTAACTATTTATTTCTATATAATACCATCTCACTCTGTTATTTCTCAATCGCCCTTTCAATAACTTATTAGAATTTTTGATGGGAATAATTTTGATGACTATTAATTGTACTCAGAAATATTTTACGTCATAAAATGAATTATGTTGTTTAGTGAAAAGCTTTTAACACCATAAAACATTCAAAATGTTGTTGACTCTTGACAACCTGAGGGTATTGACTGATGATAGAAATGGCTTTCAAAATAGGGGCGTAAAATCAGCAAGATTCTTGCTAAAATATTACTTCAAGATATATATGCCTTACAGAGCTGCAAGGAGTTATCTAAGAATAATGTGCACCACCGTAAAAAAAATTGACAGATATGGCATGATTACTTGATCAAAGACATGGGATGGTCAAGTAGGGCCACAGGGGAAGGGGAGAGTGTCTATCAGCACAGGCATTTAATAACTAAATGATAAGAAATTTAAGAATTGGAGATAGGAAGGGGAACAAAACCGGGTTTATGCTCCTTTGGCTACACCCAACCCTCTCACGTCCACCAGCATCAGAGAAGTCACTGCTCTACATGTCCTCACTAAACATCTCGTTGGAACATCTCTTCACTTTCCCTTTAATATCCTTAGTGGATCCCAAATAACTGAAAACTTACCAACTCTATGACCTGTCGGATGGCTATTCCAACATAGACATCAACTGGTTTCGACTGACTGTCACAGTATGGTAAGGTATCAGCATGGTAGGTTTTAAACAGGTTATTCAGTAAAACTGACTGATTGGTTGCATTAATAATACCTTCAAATAGAATACAATATTAGGATATTAATCATCTAACAATGCAAGTCTCACTGTAATTGGTTTTGCTGCATTCAAAACCTTCAAATAGAATACAATATCATCATTTAACGCTCTTTTAACCACGTAGCTAAGAAACATACTATATTCTACAAGGATAACAACTTAGGTTCACAGTAAACGATATGATATTTTGTTGTATAATACTTTTAAATAGAATTCAATTTTAGCAATTAACTCTCTTTTAACCACGCAACTTTAAAATTTTGTTGTACTTTGTTAAATAATCCTCAACTGTAGGTTGCATCAATAGCATCAATTTGCACAATTTGGTTACTGCAATTCCACTAACACTAAGCGTTTTATGAGGTCACTGATAAAGCATATTTTGCAATAAATGGCGCCATCAAATACTTAGTTTTAGTGTAATTGCAGAAACCAAATTGTGCAAATTGATGCTATTGATGTCCCCGATACTAAAAATTAGACCTCTCTTTACAATCCCTTTAACGCTCTTGTAACCACGTAATTATAAAATTGTTGTAATTTCTTCATGCAAATCTACAACTATAATTGATTTTGTTGCATATAAATATAACAAAATAAGATTTCAATGAGCACTAATTCGACTGTACAAAAATTCCTGTTGTAACATTTTATTATAATATAATGCCTCCACCAAAAATTGAATATAATTTTTGTATTAAACTATTTAAAAAAAGACCGTATAGGAGTTATTACGAAACCTTCTAATATAATCAATATGTTATGATCTATAGGGACAACTTGGAAATATTACGAATATATTATGATATGATATTTTCTGACCATTGAAAAAAGAACACTATATTTGACAATTTTATTCATAAACCTTCAATTATAATGAATATATCGATAAATAGCAGAAATTATTTTTATGAAAGCTTCAATTATATTGAAAATATTTAATATATTTTATAAAACCTTCCAAAGTAATAAGTATATATGTTTTATGATATTGGTTTATCATATTGAAGTTATAAAACCTTCAAATATAATCTATACATTATCAAATATCGGACTGGAATTATAAAACCTTCAAATATAATATATACATTATCAAATATCGGACTGGAATTATAAAACCTTCAAATATAATATATACATTATCAAATATCGGACTAGAATTATAAAACCTTCAAATATAATATATACATTATCAAATATCGGACTGGAATTATAAAACCTTCAAATATAATATATACATTATCAAATATCGGACTGGAATTATAAAACCTTCAAATATAATATATACATTATCAAATATCGGACTGGAATTATAAAACCTTCAAATATAATATATACATTATCAAATATCGGACTGGAATTATAAAACCTTCAAATATAATATATACATTATCATATATCGGACTAGAATTATAAAACCTTCAAATATAATATATACATTATCAAATATCGGACTGGAATTATAAAACCTTCAAATATAATATATACATTATCAAATATCGGACTGGAATTATAAAACCTTCAAATATAATATATATATTTTAATATATCTGGTTGGAATTATAAAACCTTCAAATATAATATATACATTATCAAATATCTGGTTGGAATTATAAAACCTTCAAATATAATATATATATTTTAATATATGTGGTTGGGATTATAAAACCTTCAAATATAATATATACATTATCATATATCGGACTGGAATTATAAAACCTTCAAAGATAATATATATATATTAAGATATCTGGTTGGGATTATAAAACCTTAAAATATTGTGAATGCATTATGACATATCGGGCTGTAATTATAAAACCTTCAAATATAATATGTATAATATATCGGACTGGAATTACAAAACCTTAAAATGACGGATGAATGGATTATAATGTAAAGGTTTTGAATTATAGCATTAATAAAAAGTTAAAAATCAAATTGATGTAGACTAATATTGAGCTAAATTCGTAAAATTTTAAATAAGCAATAAACATCGAAATTATATTTTTGTTTTTTTTTTAAGTA